TATTCATTGTCTAACTTTCACACATATATGAGGTGACCGTGGCTTGGGAAACCACTAGGACTAACTACACATTAGTCCTCAAAATGATATCTTTACTCTTTAACACTTCAAAGAGGTTTTACAGCAGATGTGCCTAATGCAATACATCATTTGATTTTTTGACTGCTGCTCCCATGAGCACTGATTGCAGATCCAAGAAAATACTTTTATATCAATATATAAAACTTATACTCAAAATAAAGCTTTAGACACACTTACCTAAAAGGAAAAAAAAAACACTGATATATCTAAAAGGCAACTTCATGTATTTTCTTTAACTCACAAACATATTTTTGGCACCATTTTCCCTAGAACACAATGGAAGTTTGTTTCTAGAGTCAAGGCATTTGGTGCTAATGTAGCTCCATCACTGACTTTCAGTGTCCTAAATGTGATGGTTAACTGTATGGTTCAACTTGGCCAGGCTATGGTGTCCAGTTGTTTGATCAAATAATAGTCTAGATGTTACCATTAAGTATTCACATGTGATTAGCATTTAAATCAGCTGGCTTTAAGTAAAGTTGATTACCCTCAATGTGGGTGAGCCTCCCCCAATTAGTTTAAGGTCTTAAAAACCAAATTAGAAGTTTCCCAAGGGAGAATTCTGCCTTCAAAAAATAAATCGATATTCTGCCAGAATAGAACACAAGACTTACCAGAATTTCCAGCCTGTCATCTGACCTATAGATTTTAGATTTCTCAGCTCCACAACCACTGTGAACCAGTTTCTCAAAATAAATGTCTTGGTCTTTCTCTATCTATACCTTATAAACATTGTTAGGTTTCAAAGACTAGGGTGTTGTGATAAAACTGGCATTTGTAAAAATAGAAGAGGACTACATCAGGTCACAAAATGGAGGATGACTACATCATTACAAATCACTGAGACTAAGGACCTAGCAAAGCTGACACACAATCTTAACCATCACAGCCTGTGCTACTCTGTCCTCATCTTGACGCTCATTACTGCCAGACTTATGGCATTGAAGCACAATATATTTGGAGACTAGATATTTTACTGATGTTATAAATGCAAAATATCAAATAATGAGATATTCAATAAGAGAAACTATATGTATCTATCTACCAACTATCTATAGCCTACTAAATTTTTTTTCTCTAGAAAACCTTACGTAAAACACTAAGCTTATATTTTACATCTTTATCTTTCTACCCCATCTACTTTCTCTACTTATGAAATGCTTATACATTCCAATAATGGTGTGTTGCTTCTGGGTAAGCACTAAACTGCTAACCACAGGTTGGTAGCTCAACCTACCAGCTGCTTTGGAAACCTTATTCAGGTCACTATGAGTCAGAAGTAACTAGGGCACTTAACAACAACAGAGAAACACAAATGCAATGTTTTCCTATTATTTTGCAAAGGCAAAGTTATGTAGCGCAGAACCAGAACACCACTGGCTTTATTTTCTCACATATGAATACATGAAGAATAGTTACCTGGCAACTGAACTACAAAGTCTCTATCATTAGCAAAGTTAAAACCCTGAAATTATGATACAAACTTACGTATTTCTTCCACAACTTGTGGGTCACATTCTTTGTATTTTTCTACTTCTGCCTTTAACTGTTCCCGTTGGTCCCGAAGTGAAGAAAGCTCCTTTGTAAGCATGGTTCGTTCTTCCTGTATTCAAAATATTTTTTACATATAATTAAGGCAAATAAAATGTGTTTTATAAGATTATGCCATTTTATAAATGTAATACTTTAATTTTATTCATCATAAATTACATGCACTAAGTTTTTGGGATTACTATCATACATAATCAGTTGTTGCTGATTTTATTTTGACTCATGGTGACCCCAACTGTGTCAGTATGAAGTATCAGACTAGAACAGTTTTCCAT